TCTTGCCCTACTCAAGTCTTTATTTATTTTTCCCTTTTCTATTCTAAACTGGAGCACAAGTAAACAACAACGCTGTTTTCTTGTTGATTTCTAGAAAAAATGGCTCATTAAGTACTTACCAGCTGCAATTATTCAACTAGAAATTAAATTGCCAAAGTCAGAACTTAATCGATAAATAAATCCTTGGCGAATTAGTTTTGAATCCACGCCATGTTTAAGCATTTATTTCTACATTGTTGGATAATGAACTTACCAAATGCTTTGCACAGTTGTGTATGCACATATCTATATATGAACATATGTATGTACATCTTACATTAGACCAGGTCCACCTCAACACAAAAAAAACGGTTTTATTATTTAAGTCTAAAAGTGGTACAGTTTTAACCAAACCTTGCTTACTCATGTTTATTGGGGTTGCTGGTTTTAAATTTCCCCACATAATTTCGAAATTCAAAATGGCGGGTTAATAATGACCAGTTGTGAAGTATTATAGGTGACTAATAACATGTTTTCTAATTTTTGGTAATATACAGTTATACAGTGACTCCAACAAGTATTCACATGTTCCATTTTTCTAATATTCACAATGATTTGCATGTAAGTTTTATTTTTTTTTTTATAAAAACATTGTTAATGCTTTAACCAAAACTATATAAACCAAATATTCAAACTTTGTTTAATAAGAATAACAAAAAATAAATACGAATTTTTAAAACATTTTTGGGTGTGCCCATACAGGTTTTTTTTGACAATTTAAAAAACTGCTTTTGATTTTTTTGATCCTTTTTTTCCCGAACGGTATTGCGTCTCTTTCTATAATAAGTTCACGTTTTTATGGAAAAAATTTCAAAAATCCGTCAGCAATAAAAATTTATTATAAATCAACGTGCCGCTTGAAACTTTATTATACTAAAATGGTATGACCTATAACCAAAAGTTTGGGCATGCCCAAAAGTACTCTAAAAATTCAGATTAACAAATTTTGAAATTATGCTAAAATTTTTTTGAATTTGATGTAACAAAACAAATTACTTGAAAAAAAACACTTGTCACTTTGTGAAAAACCAAATCAGCATGTGAACACTTATTTGATGAAGATTTTAACCAAAATGGATAGGAAATACTTCACTATATATGGAAAAAAGTAGACCGCTCATCTCGACCACTCACGTAACTATTTTCACAATTTACCATTAGGAGCACGAAAAGTTGCCAGCAAATTTGCTGGAGGTAGATTTTAGCGGCATACAAATGTTCGCACTATTCAATAGAATGCTTTTTGCGCGACCCGACCTAATGTGTGCGGCCGTGTTTATATGCTTGCATAGCATATACATATGTAAGTATGTTTATTTATATGTACTCGTATGTTTATGTACTACGTATGGCTTTTGTTGCGGAAATTTAGTTTCTTAACGCTTCGCTTGGTAAGCTTCGCGGTTAATCGACAGTTAAATAGCCAAAAAGAAACAAAGAAAGCAGTAAACACACAAATTGCAAATATACGTGAAAGTACCAACATGCAACTGTATATATACATAAGTACATACATACATACATATGCATACTTATAAAGTAAAATTGAGTGTACTCCAAATCAAACAATCATCTCACAGAAGCTGCTTGATTTCTTTCGAACATACATATGTATATTAGGGTGCCCATCGAAAATGCCTTTTTTGGTAATTTCAAGAGCCTAGCCTAGATTATTATATACCATTTTAAAGACTATATATCCTCTTCTCAGATAATATTCGCTCTTTGAAATCGAAGCAAAAATAGTCATTCAAAAACTCATAAATCTACAAAATCGCATTTTCTCACCTAAATCGACCTTTAAAAAATCTATAAAAATAGGCAATAATATTTCTAATAAAAAAGAATAAAATTGTGGGGTAAGGTCTTGAAATTTCCAAAACAAAAGGCATTTTCAATGGGCACCCTAATATATATATACATATGTACTGGAGGGCTGCATAAGTGAAATGAAAAGATGTTCAAAACATTTTATTATGTTCGCTTCACTTACTCACATCCGTTTTTTTTTTAGTTTAATAAAACAAATAACTAAAATTAGGATGCAAAAAAATAACTTGATATAACTTGGCAATAAGTGGTACACTTATTATTCTAACACTGGTTTATCTTTTCGTAGAGTTACCACCTGTCTGTGTTAAAAAAATAATATTTGCTATCACATAAAATATAATTTAAGCAATACAAATGCTTACTCCTGGATGATCCCAAAAGAAACCAATTGGACAGTTCCAGAAAAAAATACCAAAAATCCAAGAAATTATCGAAAAATTCTAAAAGTACCGATATTATTCTATTTGCCCAAAATTAAAAATTTCCAAAATATCCCTAAAAGCACTATAGTCTCAAAAAATTCTGAATTATCGCAAATTTTCATTTAGCGTTAAAAATTTTCTTCATGCTCCAAAAAATATAAATCCTCAAAAGTCCGCAAAATTTCAAAAAATTGTCATTAGATCTGAAAAGTTCCTAATTATTGTAAAATATTTTTATCAGATCACTGGGTTATGATGACAAAAGTGAAATGTGAAGAAAAATTTAATTACAAGGCCTTTTGGTTTAAACCTAATACAAGCGCACCGTGTATTACTTGGTGTCGAGTTTTTTTTGCCGACTAAAGGGGTGAGGCACCCTCCCCGGGAAAAGAAAGAAAAACAAACCCTGTTCCGCTTAGAACTTGTTTTACGAACAAAATGTGCAAATATTCCAAACAAACAAATCCAGCAATCCAAAGTAATTAAGTAACCAACGAGTCAAGCGACTTGCTGTTAAAATACCCTCGCTTGTCCGCCCATTCACATTCATTATCAAGCTCAGCCTTCAGCTTTATACTTACTGTGGCAGCATCTATTTAATATCCTTGTCTTTCTTTCTCACTCGATTCCGCACCTGCACCACCGTCCGACTATCGTCTGGCAACATTTGCTATCACAGCAAAATTTATTACCGCCTCAGTGAAATTTAATTACCATAGGGCTATGTACGTATGTATGCACGTTACAATTCTGAACTCATTGCCGCATATCTTAGCACTAAATTGTCAGTGCGGTTTCCGCTGTGGCAATAGCGCCTTCTATAAATAAAAAATAGGCTGGTAGTTATATGAAATAAATTACGTAATATAAGGCCTGTATGCAGCTCTCAAGAAAAGCAAAAACTCCATATAAAATGGCGTACAAGAAATAGCTAAGAAATTTTCTTGAGTCAAATTTCCTTGCGGCAGTACGCTGTTCTTAAGAAATTTATTACGCTTTCTACTACGGTTTTCTAAAGTTTTGTGTAAAAAAGAGCACAAGGCAACCCAGGTTTGCAACAGAAATATATGCCCGTTCCATTATTTCTTGAGGAAAGAGTGAGGCAACAGGCTGTGAGGTATCAAAAATGTCAAAATTCCTTGGACACACACGAAATAATGGCAATTTTTTCTTGACCGTTTTCTTGTGAGCCGCATACAGGGCTATAGGTAAATATTAGTTGGTAACGGGAATTCATATAACAAATATACATACATAGCAGCAAAATGCACTACTTATTATATAAATGTATACATTTTTAATAAGCGAAAAAGAAGCCGAGCAGAAGCTAGTTTCTCATAGTCTTAGTTAAAAAGAAATGTTCTCATTAGAATTGCTTTGAAGAAAAAGGTACGAGTAAATAATTGCTAAATTGAAACTAAATTAGTGCAAAGGAAATGCTTGATTTTAAAATATTTGCTTGTAGATTTTATATTTATTCGTCTACCGTTATCTGAAGCGCCGTTTGTGGTTGTTGCAACTTATAGTGGCTCCTGCTTCCCTTCGATTTATAATTCATCACATTTTCATCCCAACCAACAGTGTTGCTGATTTAAGAATCACTAACACAGCTCATCTTCTCTTTATCGTCAGCTTTCCACTGCTTGAATCACGTATGACGATAACCGTCTGACGGTCTCATGTTGTCCTTCATGAAAACAAAAATATGTGTGATCGTTTGTGCAATATATGTACATTAGGGCAGGTCAATTTGTATGGAAGTTTTTTTCGACTATGCGCGTATAGCACAGAAGGATTCTACGTGTAATTCTGAGCAAATTTGCCGAAGAAATCGTGGGTGAAAGATCAATTTGGGGAATGCCAAATTGCGAAAATAGGTTTCTTAGCATTTCGCTGTAGTGTCGTAGAGAAGTGTTTAAATTTTGTATAAAAACGGTTTTCGTTGGTATGAAGAATCAATTTCTGTACGGAACTTTTTCTTAAAACTTCCAACAGAGGGCATAACAGTGGAAATTTTTCCATTTTCTTCGAAACCTATTTTCGCAATTAGGCAAACTCCAAATCGATTTTAGATCCATGGTTTCTTCGGCGAATTTGCTTAGAATCCGCGGAAATATACAAAAGGTAGTATCAGAAAGTACTATTCGACATACATATAATGCTTATCACATCATAAAAATCTCTTCGCCAACTTGGAAAATTATAACAATGGTTATGTAGAATTCTCCTATGCTATACGCGCATAGTAAAAACAAAATTTACCCGCCCTAATGTACATACTAAGTCGGGTCGGTAATCATGCAAAAGAAAACATTTTCTAGTCTCGAATTGTAATTCTCTTTAGGGATACTTGGATACATAGATTGACGTTGTGTACTGCAACCTTGATTCTATTATACCCCCAGAAATATAAATTGTATAAATTTCCATTGTATAAGATTATGTCATTACACTCCTACCGAGGAGTAACTAGCCTTAATTAATTACCTACGGATTGAACTAGTCGTATTCCACAGCGCTTCTTAGTATACGTGGGTCCTTTATAAATTAAGAAGATTTTTTGTACAAACAGCAATAAATTTAATTTTTATTTTCAAACATACATATATTTACTGCCATCAAAAAATTAATACATAGACTAATATTCATTTGTAATTTATTCCCACAATTTCTCACTTTTTTCCTCAACGATCACCATAACTTCAGCCATTTTGAGCACACTCTGCAAGGAGTTCCTGCAAGCGAACGTCTCCGCCATACTATATATGATGAATAATGAACAATTCGGTCATAGCACTGCCTCCGCTCAGTATTTCCTACAACTGGCCGGCTATCTTGGCATACCGGTAATCTCATGGAATGCTGACAATTCTGGTTTGGAGAGACGCGCCTCTCAATCGACACTTCAGCTTCAGTTAGCTCCAAGTATAGAACATCAAAGTGCTGCTATGTTGAGCATTCTTGAGCGTTATAAATGGCATCAGTTTTCGGTTGTCACCTCTCAGATAGCCGGACACGATGATTTTGTACAGGCTGTACGGGAGCGTGTCGCCGAAATGCAAGACCATTTCAAATTCACGATACTCAATTCGATTGTTGTAACGCGCACCAGCGACTTGATGGAATTAGTGAATAGCGAGGCTAGAGTGATGCTCCTCTATGCCACACAAGGCGAAGCGGTTACTATTCTTAGAGCTGCTGAAGAAATGAAGTTAACTGGCGAAAATTATGTGTGGGTCGTTAGTCAATCGGTTATCGAGAAGAAGGATGCACATTCACAATTTCCCATTGGCATGTTGGGTGTACACTTCGATACGAGTAGTGCTGCGCTAATGAATGAAATATCGAATGCAATCAAAATTTATGCCTTCGGTGTGGAATCCTACCTTACAGATCCGGCAAATCGGGGGCGACGCCTTACAACGCAATCACTTTCGTGTGAGGATGAGGGACGCGGACGCTGGGATAACGGTGAAACGTGAGTATATACTTTGAAAGTACCCGTCAAGGCGAAGTCATACAAGGTGATGGCGGCAGAACAAAATCAAAAAAAAAACTGCACTAACAAATTACACGCACGATGATAATCCGAACACAAAAAATGTACAACAAACACATCATTTTGACAACCAGCACAGCTCACTTTGAAACCAGCTGCTCCGCTTACACCGCCTTGTATGAATTCGCCTTGGTAACCGTATTACAAATACTCCAAATATAAATATTTATTTCATGTTTTCATTCAGTTTCTTCCGTTATTTGCGCAACGTGTCCATCGAAGGCGATCTGAATAAGCCGAATATAGAGTTCACTGCCGACGGCGATCTTAAATCTGCTGAACTGAAAATCATGAACTTGCGTCCTGGAGCAAACAATAAAAATCTCGTTTGGGAAGAGGTAAGTGTTTGCAAATTAAATTTTGATTGCACCGCGAAACTTCCCACTTGTTTCCGTTTTCCATCCTTAATTTCATACTTATGTATTCGCTTCTTTATTTGAATTTTATGACTTTACCGCATTTCTACATTCAATTTAGCATCTCTTTCAATTCCATCAAATTTTCTCATTTTGCTTCTTTTTCTCCCTTCCTATTCATAACTATCCCTTTCTTCATTCCTCTGCACTTCTTCGCTCTTACTATTTCTTTCCGCTTTCCCCACTCTTCACTTATTTAGATTGGCGTCTGGAAATCATGGGAGACGCAAAAGCTCGATATCCGTGACATCGCGTGGCCGGGTAACTCGCATGCTCCACCACAGGGTGTACCCGAAAAATTCCATTTAAAGATAACATTCCTCGAAGAAGCACCCTATATCAATCTGTCGCCCGCCGACCCAATCAGTGGCAAATGTCTAATGGATCGCGGCGTCCTTTGTCGGGTCGCGGCCGATCATGAGATGGCCGCTGACATCGATGTGGGGCAAGCGCATCGTAACGAATCGTTTTACCAGTGTTGTAGTGGCTTCTGCATCGATCTGCTGGAAAAATTTGCCGAAGAATTGGGTTTCACATACGAATTGGTTCGGGTCGAAGATGGTAAATGGGGTACACTTGAGAATGGTAAATGGAATGGGCTGATTGCAGATTTAGTAAATCGTAAAACCGACATGGTATTGACATCGCTGATGATCAATACCGAACGCGAAGCTGTGGTGGACTTTAGTGAGCCCTTCATGGAGACGGGCATTGCGATAGTGGTGGCGAAGCGTACAGGTATTATATCGCCGACAGCCTTTCTGGAACCATTCGATACGGCCTCATGGATGTTGGTGAGTGGGCGGGGATAAAAGGGAGTGGGCTGTTTTTGTTTTAAACTAAATATTTCCTTTTTTTTTATAAAATAAAACCCACAGGTCGGCATTGTGGCGATACATGCGGCCACTTTCATGATCTTCCTTTTCGAGTGGCTTTCACCCAGTGGCTATAACATGAAACTCTATTTACAAAATACAAGTGTGACGCCTTATCGGTTCTCGCTTTGTCGCACCTATTGGCTCGTGTGGGCGGTGTTGTTTCAAGCTGCCGTACATGTGGACTCACCGCGCGGTTTCACCTCACGCTTCATGACGAACGTGTGGGCTCTATTCGCTGTGGTCTTCTTGGCCATCTACACTGCTAACTTGGCTGCCTTCATGATAACTCGGTAAGCGCGTGAAATTTGAAAACGAAAAAATTCTCTTACTCTTCTTAGTTAAATATTTTATTTTTTCAGAGAGGAATTCCATGAATTCAGCGGACTTAACGACAGTCGTTTGGTGCACCCCTACTCGCATAAACCCTCATTTAAGTTTGGCACTATACCCTACAGTCATACTGACTCGACTATACACAAATATTTTAAGGATATGCATCTCTACATGAGACAGTGAGTATTTAGTAAATATGTACATACATAATAAACCTGCATAAATTAAATTTTTATAAAATAAAAACATTTCGCAGATACAATAAAACTAGCGTCGCTGAGGGCGTTGCTGCCGTACTCAATGGTAATCTCGATTCGTTCATCTACGATGGCACAGTTCTTGATTATTTGGTGGCACAAGATGAGGACTGTCGTCTAATGACAGTTGGCAGCTGGTATGCCATGACAGGTCAGTTAAAATTTTTAGTGTTTAGCAGTAGTACACCGAAAAGCAGACCGTAAGATATCTTGAGGGGGCATACAATTTTGATATATAAAATCAGCGTGCAAAAACAACCTAAGTTATGCTGAAAAAATAATATTTTTTACTGATTTATAGGCCATATTTTCCCTTTCATTTAAATTTGTATAAATTTTACTAACTTTCGGGCCCAGAGCCTCATCTTTCCTTCACCCGATTTTGAAATTTTTTCGCTAAATATGTTTTTATGACCAAACGAACTTATCTTAAGAAAGTCTTGCTTTGTAGGTTTTAAAAAAGTTGTATCCCTACAAATAATGCGCACACTAATTCCCATTTATTAACGGTTTGGTCATAGCGAGCTTTTACACTGAGCGCCGCTAATAAAACAGAGGCGACCAAGGAAATGTTTTACATATACTAAATCTATAGAAAGCTTTAAATAACTTCACCCCGGCATGTGTTTTACATCCGGCTGATATAAAATTTAAAGAAAGTTCAAAATATCTCTGCACGAATGCCCATGAAATGTTGCGCTCAGATCTAGACAAGTTTTTTTTTAAGCTGTAAAATCGTATCTGCAACAGTTTTCTATTATTGTCTTCAATTATTTGTCTCCTCCCTCTCATCCTTTCTCTCCAGGTTATGGTCTCGCCTTTAGTCGCAATTCAAAATACGTCCAAATGTTCAATAAACGTCTGCTAGAGTTTCGTGCCAATGGTGATCTGGAGCGATTACGTCGTTACTGGATGACGGGCACATGTCGACCTGGCAAACAGGAGCACAAATCTTCAGATCCACTTGCGCTGGAACAATTTTTATCCGCTTTCCTACTGCTCATGGCTGGTATTTTATTTGCCGCGCTGCTACTGCTGCTCGAACATGTCTACTTCAAATATGTACGAAAACGTTTGGCCAAAAAGGATGGCTGTCACTGTTGTGCGTTGCTCTCATTGTCGATGGGTAAAGCGTTGACATTCCGTGGTGCGGTTTTCGAAGCGACGGAAATACTTAAAAAGCATCGTTGTAATGATCCCATTTGTGATACACATCTGTGGAAGGTTAAACATGAGTTGGATATGTCACGGTTGCGTGTGCGGCAATTGGAGAAGGCACTGGATCAACATGGCATCAAGCCACCGCAATTGAGGTAAGTAGGATGTCGGATATTTACAAAAAAAAGATGGAAAAATTCGAAAATAATACTTTCTTGCTTTATTTACTTACAGACTGGCATCATCATCGGATTTACTAAATCATCATCATTTGAAAGAGCGTCCACCGCTGCTGGGTAACCTGAGCTTGGCTGCGAGCGCACAAGATTTATACAGGTGGTAAGTTTTTTATGAACATATGAATGTGTCCCCTCCTCTGGTATCCCGTATTATTCTGAAACTCCTGTAAACCCATATTGCCAGATTTTAAAGTAGTAGTAGAAATGTGTCAATCAATTTTAAACCAACCACATGGTACTTCCTAAAAACACCCACACTAACCATCATCACCATTAACAGGGCACACATTTGTACATACGACCACACGAATAATATTCTATATACATATATATAAGGGTGGTCCTTAAAAAATCAGATTGACGATTTTTTCAGTCTCACCCCCTCAATCGGTAATACCACGGTCACAAATATCACATATAGATTGTGGACCCGATTGGAGACGGTTAAGGCGTGTCGCACAGGAGTCAAAGTACAGATTCCTCTATAGAAACTAAAAAAATTAAAATTATTATTTTTTTTATCTAATACTCGACACTAACGTAGTCGAAGATATCACATATAAATGTTGGTCCCGATTGGAGTCGATAACGGCGCGGCGGAGTCAAATTAAATATATATATATATTTTTTTTCATTTAATACCCAAAATCGAGAGTAATAAAGTCGAGGATATCACTTCGTCTTCACAGGGTACTTTGACCCCTGTGTAACACGCCTTAACCGTCTCCAATGGGGACCAACATTTATATGTGATATCTTCGACTATAGTAGCATCGACGTACGGGTTGAGGCTTAGGAAAGCTGATGCAAAAATTTGCTTCCTACATTTAAGGACCACCCTAATATGTAACAGTATTCAACCCATAACAGCAACATTGTTTGAAAGCGACGTTAACTTTAGTTATATATGTACATATGTATGTATGTACATACATCTAAGCCACCATTTAATGTTGATTCGCTGAGCATATTTGAATGCTCCATTAAGCAACCAAACATTGAGACGATTTAGGGAGTTGTTCATAGAACGTTACCGCCTTTGCTCAGTGTGAGTGTGGCTAAGTAAACGACTGAGTGATGAACTGACCTACGTATGTATATTTATTGAACCAACATCAAAATTACCGATTTATAGCTACATTATGTAACTTTGTTTCACTCTTTCCTTTGTGTGTTGTTTCCTGTTTATTTTGTTTTTTTTTCTTTACTCTTTTTGACTAATGGCTGCTGCAAACGGAAACTCAACCAATTTAGCATGAAAAATACAACTTAATCCATCGGTTTTTTATTTGCTTTAAGCTTTGTATTCTTCTTTTCTTATTGGGATGAAAAAATCGGTAAAACCAAAGCTACAATAAAATATAGCATATCCGTCCGAATTTCAATTTTTTTGAAGCTGTTGCTTTTCGCAAATGTCGGATTATGGAATTTCAACTCAACTCAATTTTGCTGCTCACACTTTTTCCTTCTTATACAAGTGCATACGCTTATCGCATATGCAAGCATATATATAACTTTATGTATGTAAAGGCATAGATATTGATGTATGCACATATATATATATTTATCTGCATTATATATTGCACATATGTATGTACTAAAAATCCATTACTACAACCATTATTTACATATATACATACATATGTATGAACATACAAATACATTTTTAATATTTATCTGGACCTCTTGTTTGCATTGTGCAAGTATTTGTCTCAACAGAACCACATTCTTAGAGATATGCGGTTTACATGTGCCATATATTTTTGTGTGCTCTGCTCAGAGTGTTTAAAAGTAATGAAACATATCTAATTACTTTTCGTTTGAACTTCAAATTTACATGTTTTTTCTTGATTATTTTATTTTTAGAAATTTCATTTGGTATATTAGAGGTCCTTTGATGCACTGTGAAACAAGCAAAGTTATCCACAATTATATTTATTTTTCCTCAAAAATTTTCATTAAAAAATCGTCTCAATACAAATTTTTCAATATAAATTGTTATAAGGCAAAAAACCGGATCTGCTAATGAATAGTCTACATATATATATATATTTTTTTTAAAATAAAACAGGTATAAATAGTCATTTAAAAATCTGGCACTGCGGTGAGCTAGTGTTTAGCAGGTGGTAATGAGGTGTTCCATTGATTCCTCTTCATTACCACAGTAAGTGCTCCACACAGTGTTTTTAGGTTTTTCATACTTAGCATGAGCGCCGATTGAGCTCTTTTTGCACTCAAGTATAGGAATTTGTTTGAGTGATGGTGTCTCTCGAACTTATGTCAATAGCTAGCAGTGCAGAATATTGGCCACTATGTCCCTCTTGATATCATTGTTATTTAATCCAAGGACCAAAGGATGTGTCTGCCCCTTTTTGACCTTGAAAATCCGCTCAGGCACCCAGATTAAGTAGACTCTGTTTTGGGCGGCTAGGTTATTGAGTCTATGGCACTCTATAAGTGTTTTTTGTTGAGAACGAGTAGCTATCTAGAGCTTTGAGTACAGATTGGCTGTCCGAAAATATGGTGATTCTTATTCTGACATATTTCGTGTTTATTAAGACGTAGGCGGTCTCCAGTATGGCAGTTAGTTCCATCTGGAATATCGTTGCGTCTTTACTTAAGGGGAAAGATGTACGCGAACGCGGTCCAACAACGCCCGCACCTACACCGTAAGATGTTTTTGTACCATCGGTATACCATTTTTGTGAGTCATCGTGCAGCCACGTGGGATTTCTGCTCCAATCTTCTCGAGTGGGAAACGTGATCTTGTACTTCTACGTAAAGCTGAGGGTATATTCATTATCTGATCTAGCTGAAGGAGGACGTTCTTAAATCAAATTCTAAAATAGGGCGTTCTTCAACAAAATTCTGTAATAAGGCGTTCTTGAAGAAGTTTTTCAGATAGGGCATTTTCGAACCGGCTGCATTAGGCTGGGTCGAGTTTGTATGGGAGAAAATAAATTGCATTTGATGGCATTGTGATAGTAATATTATGTTGTCTTAGGTCTAACCCAATAACAATTGGCGACGAAAGATTAATTTAAAACATATGTATCTTTAGCCCACGCAATTGATTCAAAGTGTATAACACTTCGGTTGGTAATATCTAAGGAATGCTTTAATTGTTATAAACAAGACGATATACCAAATAAAAGGTTATTAAATTCAAAATATATTTATATACATTATTTTAATATATTTTTAGATATTTATAAAAACTTACAAAAACGATAATTTTCCCGCATGAGTTTTCAATTATTCATTAATTCAGTAACCAAGTGAAAAATGTAAAAAAATGAGACGAGACTTATTTCAAAATTTTTTAGGTTTTCGGATGTTTATATAATATTTGGTCAGTTTTCAAAATAGTGGTGAATGAAGTCGTTTGATAAGTCCATAGTAGTTTCAAGCACATATACACATTAACTAAATAATATTAGGGCAAGCATAATTCCATTTATGCATTCTTGAAAATTGGAGCGGAATGGTTTCATTAGTCAACGAACAAGCACATTTTTCGCGGTTTCTAAATCTACCGTTATAAGAAAGTAGGGGACGTGCAATAGGTATTCAGATATACATACATAACTATTTTAGTTATTTCCATTATGGGAAAAAGTGACTGTAGAAATCCTCCTGGAAAATCCCTTTGGGGACTCTTCTATGGGACGATATGGCTTTGTATTCAGCTTGAACGAAGAAGGCGCTTCCTTTTCTGCAACCGCTTTCTTATATTTTGAAGTTAGTTATACAATTAAAGAGAAATTTTCGTCGAAAAAAAAACAGAGATATATCTTTTTGGGATATGTACAATTTTGTACCAAATTGAATGCGAGACTTACTGTTTCTGATTTATCATAATCATATGATAACAACAGAACCAAAAATTCCTGTCAACTTCCTTTATTTGCAATTTCTGTGTTGCATGCACAGACATAAGTAAACTAAATAAACTAAACTGTTTCTCGAATTTTGGCTAGTCAGTCTTTCTATATACATTTGCATAAACAAAATTTTTCCACGGCGATAGAAAATAAAGCTTTTCGTATTACGGCTACCAAAATTGTTCATACATTTTGCAAAAATTCGCAAAATACAGCTTGTATGAAAAAATACTAGTAGATTTGGAACCAGCGACCTTAATCACCCCTGATATATGAATGCTGTTCTTTAGATTCTTTGCCTATAGAACAGTGCAATAATTAACAGGACAATTACAATTTGGTTGTAAAAAGATAAGTTTGAGAGTAACCATAAACTAAAAGACTGTCAGAAATGACATTACAATTGAAATAAACGACTAATATTTTACAGGCTTGTTTTTGACCTCATGTTACAACATATTTTCACTATTACCAAGGGATTTGAGAAAAATTAAATTTTCGACCCGTCCTAATGTACATATTACCAACACTACAAATTGGCTCGAATTGCTTACTTTGCTCATACGCTCTGTATTTCCTTTTTACACTCACAAATAAGAGTGTACATATGTATGTATGTAGATGTGTGTCTATTTATACTTATGCTCATGTAAATATTAAAGTTTATTTGTATTTATGCTAAATGTACGTGCGCGAATGTTTAGACTTACATAATCATAAATGTATGTGTGTATGCTATAATTAGAATTCCCGACAATATGGAAATGACTTCATTAAATTATTTTATCACGATTTGGGTAACTGTTGAGACTACTGACTAGCTAGCTTGTAAGAAAATCGTTCATTGAGTGTGTGATTACCCAGCCAGCAAAATACTTGTGTACGAATTACGAATAAAAAACGAATGATTCAGCTGGTCGATTGCTGAACTTCGTCAAGTAGTGCCTAGTATTTTCCAGCTAAAAGCTATTCAACTCACAAAGTATGTGCTCCGCTGTTTGCTCTTGATAGTTACACTTGCTAAACATTTTATGCATTCCACTAAGTCTATTCTGAACGCATGGGTTGCTGTCAAACCGTAGTCCGTTATTAGTCCTACCAGCAGTTTGGAGTCGTCTCTTCTTATTGATAACAAAATAATCTAAAAGTTTTCTATGGCACAATCCACACATAGTCTTTGCCACTCTGCACACCCTGTCTGCCAAAGCAGATCGTG